CGCCCGCAAGCGCCCGGGGCCGGCGCTCACCATGCGCCTGGAGCCGGCTCCGGCACTGTGCATGCGCCACGTGCCCAGGGCCAGGCCAGCCCCGAGCACGTGGCGGGCGCACACGAATGCCCGTGTTGGGGACCGTGTTGGGGACCACGGCCATAGAGGGTAGGTCCATCAATGGTCGTTAGCAAGGATGGGCAGGAATGGTGTCCCAAGCCTCTGTTTCCCAGAAACTGGGAATGGGTGACTGGGTGGATCACTTGATTATTTCCAAGTCTATTCATTCCTTCTGGGACACCTGGCATTGGCCACTGTCAGAAGACAGGATATGTTGGGGACCGTGTTGGGGACCACGGCCATAGAGGGTAGGTCCATCAATGGTCGTTAGCAAGGATGGGCAGGAATGGTGTCCCAAGCCTCTGTTTCCCAGAAACTGGGAATGGGTGACTGGGTGGATCACTTGATTATTTCCAAGTCTATTCATTCCTTCTGGGACACCTGGCATTGGCCACTGTCAGAAGACAGGATACTAGACTAGATGGATCTTTGGTCTAGATCACATTTTTCTAGTTTACTTTTGAGAATGTTATGGGGGACTGTGTCAAAACCCTTATTAAAAAATTAACATATTGCATGTCTACCTGTTCCAATACCACCAGGATAAATTTCATCAGGCCCTGCTGACCTGAATATGCCTCGCTTATCTAAACCTTCTTTAACCTGTTATTTCCCTATTTTGTCTTATGTTCCTTCCTCCCTGTTGTTGTTTGTGTTGAGTATTTGATCACCATAAACCTTTAGAGAAGACTGTGACTATTTTCTTCCATTATTTGATCTGAGGAAGTGGGTCTGGCCCACGAAAGCTCGTCATCTAATAAACCATCTTGTTAGTCTTTAAAGTGCTACATAGTCCTGTATTTTGTTGAAGCAAAACAGGCACTGAACATATCCGCCTACTTGATGTCATCTCTGTTTAGCTTGCTCTCCACACTTAGTAGCAGACCTAAACTTTCCTTCCTTCCTTCTTTTGCAAATATATCTAAAGAACCTTTTCTTATTGCCTTTTATGTCTATTGCTAGGTGTAACCTTCCTGATTATGTCCCTACAGAAATGTACTAGTCTCTTGTATTACTCCTTGGCAGTATGCCCATTTTCCTACTTTTTGTTAATTTCCTTTTTGATTTGCAGCTCTTTAACAAATTCCTAATGGAGTCACTTTTGCCAGTTACTATACTTCCTATCTTCATTGGGATAGGTTGCAGTTGTGCTTTTAATATTGTCTCCTTGAGAAACCGCCAGGTCTCCTGAACTCCCTTGTTCCTTAGATTTTTTTTTTCCTACCCAAAAGAGCTTACCTATGCATTGTCTGACTTAATTAAGGTCTGGGCTTGTTTTTAGGTTCATTGTCCTTATTCTGCTCCTTTCACTCCCTCCTTTTGTTAGGATAAAGAAATTATTCAGGCATGTATGGAGGGAAGTGAGAAGGGGATGAAAGCACTGCCCCCTGCCCTCCCCCCTCCCCCGTCCCTCATGATCCTCCAAGTAAGCATGCTCTGGCTGGCCTGGGGAAGTCTGGAGCCGATTTCCCTGCTTGCTTAGGGGACTATGGGGGAGCATTCACAACCTTGCAGCCCACATTTACAAAAAAAAAAAAAGCACACACTTTCTGTGAAATTCCTCTGTACGGACCTGTTATTTCATGATCATTTTCACCCATGTTGGCTTCCTCCTTCAGATTCATCACCAATTCTCTGTCAGTCAGAATCAAGAATAAAATGCTTGTCCCCCAATTACTGATGCCACTTGCTGAAACAAAGTTGTCTCCATATGTTTTAAGAACCTACTAAAACTGAGGTATTTTGCTGTACTTCTTATCTAACAGGTGTCAGAGTAGCTAATTTCACATATGCAAATACAATTACATAGTGCATTTAATATATGCATATTATATTTCGATAGCTCCTTTCTCTTTGTAATAAAAATGGCAAAGAAAATTATCCCCTTATATCTTTCTCTCCATGCATTTCAGCCCTTCTGAAGAGAGAGTGGTTATTTTGTAAAAACAACAAATAGTCTGGTAGCACTCTATAGACTAACCAAACATGTAGATGTTATTATGCCTATAGACTAACCAAACATGTACATGGTATTATGTGCTGAAGTGGGCTGTGCCCACTTCTTCAGATGACCGGTCATTTGAAGAAGTGGGCTGTGCCATGAAAGCTCATGATACCATCTACCTATTTTGCTAGTCTATAAAATGCTACCAGACCATTTGTTGTTTTTTAAATTTATCCTGTACAGACTAACTTGGCTACGCCCTGAAGCTTCTGGTTATTTTGTATGACTCATTCATAGTGCGTCATTTTGCTGGGGACACTGGACACTTTGTGGAAGTGGCTGCAGAGAGTACCAAAATGCAAGTTTTAAAATCCTATCTTGTGGAGAACAAAAACCCATTTCATGCTCTTAGTGAAACAGTAAATCACAGAACAAATTCTATAAGATGTGTTTCTGTCTCCCAGTTCCTTCCCTTCTTTGGGTCATTTTTAGACAGTGCAGACACCACACTGTAAACAACTTTTTTTTTTGTTTTTTTTTTTTTGCAGCAACAGCTGGCTCCATAAGTAGCTATTCTGGCTGCATTGTAGCAGGTTTTATTGTGCAAGAAGGCTGACCATGAGTTAAGTGCTCTTCTGGACTTTCCAAACATTTTTCAGAGGAATGTACACATTGACAAA